TGTTCATTAAATAGCATTAGTTTAGCTTCTATGGCCTTTTATTTGGCCTTACGCATGTAACTGCTGTGTGCAGTATTTATACACACCTTAGCATGAATAATACTCAAGCATCATTCTATCTAATTTGGATGAATAAAATCACGTAAATCAAGTTCTGTTGGATAGATGACCTCATTATCTACAACTTTGGTGAAGGAATCATGTACAATTTCGTAGCGTAACATCCCCAAAATGCCAGGATAAAACTGGCGCCGGAATTTCACCAAACCGGCGCCGGTCTTTTGATTTTCAACACAAGACCGCTTGGCAATAGCTTACCCGGCGCCGGGTTGGTCTGATTCTGCACAAAACACAGCATCATGCAAGCTGATTCTTGATGGGAAAACTCCATCTTCCTCAATGCTAATCAAATATTGCTTCCATACCTGATTGTTGGGTTCGATTAGACTAAAAGATGTCATTCTTTAGCCTATATAAAGTCCTCAATTCATCAAACAAATACATTCAATTCCATAGATTAATTCTTAGCTTTTATATTTTTTTTCTTAGTATTTTCTTCACGTTCTTGAGGAGGGAAGTTCATCCTCCGAAATCATTGGTGTTTAGGTATTATTTCCTTTGTAATTTCATGTCCCATTACATTTATTATTGTATTGTGATTAATATGAGCATTAGAGGCTAAATTCTTAGCTAAGGCTAGGGATGAACTTTTATGCCCACTAGGTGTTTGATAAAAGTTCTAAACCAATAAATTGTGATTTATCCTGTATATATTGATTGTTTATGACTATGGTGTACAACATAGAAGTATGTTAAATTTAGCGTATACTTGCAATTAACGTTGAAGTCTAAACTATGAACATTAAAGGATAAACATATATAGCCGAGAATAGAAATATATCTGGTCTCATATGATACGGGTGTGATGTTTTGATATTCAACGGGGTTTTCGGTAGATGAATGTAAGCCGTAATGGGACTTACACGTAACGAAAACCACGCTCTCGGTGCCTTAACCGGAGTTGAGAATATATAGCGACATCGTATTCATAATTATTGGTAAAGAACTAATATTCAACCCTATTAAAGCATTTAAGTGATTCCCGAAGCCTTAGTTGTTGTTATCAATCACTTTAAACTCAAATTAATTCAAGTTATATCCCTGAAAATTAAAGAAGAACCAAGTTGTTGTTTTCACAACAACACACAAATCAAAATCCCTACACTTTACTCATTTCTTTATTTAAAGTTATCTACTCTCGGACTTGAACTGAACAACGTTTCCCTGTGGATTCGACCCGGTATTTTACCAGAATTTAATACTATATCGGCACTTGTACACTTGCAAATTTAGCCCGGTCACAACGTCATCTTTCATCTTCAGATGAGTGTCCCACGCCGTCCTCATATTCGGACTGGCTTATCAGCGCCGTCATCCCCATATTCAGACAGACGTCCACCGCCTCGTCCTGATGTTCAGACAGGCGTCCATCGCCTCGTCCTCATATCCGGACCGACTCATCAGCGTCGTCCCTCATCTTCAGATGAGCGTCCCACGCCGTCCTTCATCTTAAGACAGACGTTCGGGCCTGGTCCATCATCAGACCGGCTCATCAGCGCCATCCTCATCATCAGCCGGACATCCATCGCCTCTTCCTCATATTCGGACCGGCTCATCAGCATTGTCCCTCATCTTCAGACGAACGTCCTCTCAGCAGACGGACACCGCTACAGCTTCACACCCAGGCCGAAGGGTTCACCCCTTTTGCTTCATTTTGGAGGCATCCGGTGTACTCTTTTTCCCTCATTAGGATTTTTTCCCACAGGGTTTTCCCTGATGAGGTTTTTAACGAGGCATCTCCCCATTATGGATTAAAAAGCATCAACCCTCGGCCCCCTATTGAAGACATACATTACTCTACTCCTTTTCACCTCATTACATGTGTCTTAAGGAGTGGGGGACTGAGGGAACCCCTCGGGAAAATCACGCATATCAAACGTTTTTTCAGGACATCAACAGAAGCATACCAACATTCACCAAAATTGGAGCAACAGCCACAATTTCTCTCAAAAACTCCTCGGCCGCAGACTGTGGGGGACTGGGGGACTCCCCTCGGCAAAAAACACACAAACGTGAAAATTATTCCTCAGCTACAGTGAGGAAGCCACCGACGGGATCACGACAATTACTCCTATTTCCCTCGAGAAGCTCTCAGCAAAATGAGTGGGTGACTCCTGATGGAGTATATGGCCCGTGAACCCCCAGCTCACATACTTCTGCTACCACAAACAAGCCCAACAGGCCCAAATACAGCAATCAAAGTTCCGGGCGGCCCGTACTACAAAGGGTGTTGCCTTTGGCTCTATGATCGAAGGCGCCATATTCGGGAAAACAGTTACACTTGTTCCAGAAACACAACTGGGAACCAAGGCTAAAATTACGAACCTTCGGCATTTACGGCCTTCAGCACATGACGGCCCCGGGTACGTACAACCTTTGGCACATGAAGGCCATGATACGTACAGCCTTCGGCGCATGACGGTCCCCCGAGTACGTATGGCCTTCGGCACATGAAGGCTCCGGGTACGTACGACCTTTTGGACATGACGGTCCCCGGTTACGTATGACCTTCGGCACATGAAGGCCCCGGGTACGTACGGTCTTCAGGACATGACGGTACCCGGGTACGTACGTCCTTCGGTACATGAAGGCCCCGGGTACGTACGACTTTCAGGACATGACAGCCCTGGGTACGTACGGCCTTCGGCACATGAAGGTCCCCGGGTACGTGCAGCCGAAGGCACTACCCCGACAAGATCTCCTCCCTGCACGCTCTGGATCGCCGCATTAAACGCGATGTCACGTCCAACCACCGCATTAAATGTGGTGCCACATGCTATGTCGGCGCCACCCTGGTTGAGTTGACCCTCCACCGTTGATTGCTTGACACGTGTACTCGCATTAAATGCGCCTAGCATTTATGGCTGCTATAAATAGCAGCCACTCATCCATTGTAACGATCGAACACTTTTGAGTTCTTTCAATACACACTCACTCTCTCTTTAGAATTATTGGTTGCCGAAGTGACGACGAATCTATCGGAAAAGTAAAAGTTGATTGATTTAATTTAAAGTGGGAGGAATGTGTACACTTTTGTACTCGGGATATTTTTTTGAGATCAAAATTATTGGTGGTTGGGAGTGGGTTTAGGTGAGTGCAAGTGGTTGGGAGAAAGTGGTTGAAATTATTTTGATTAATAAGTGGTTGAAAAAAAAATGAATGTTGTGTACAATTATTGGTTACCGAAGTGACAGGGAATCTGTCAAAAAGTAAAAGTTGATTGATTTAATTTAAAGTGTGAGGAATCTGTACACTGTTGTACACTTGTACCCAAGATATTTTTTTGAGATCAAAATTATTGATGGTTGGGAGTGGGTTTAGGTGGATGCAAGAGGTTGGAAGAAAGTGGTTGAAATTATTTTGATTAATAAGTGGTTGAAAAAAAAATTGAATGTTGTGTAGAATTATTGGTTATCGAAATGATAGGGAATCTTCCGTCAGAAAAAGTAAAAGTTGATTGATTTAATTTAAAGCGGGAGGAATTTGTACACTTTTGTACCCGGGATATTTTTTTGAGATCAAAATTATTGGTGGTTGAGAGTGGGTTTAGGTGAGTGCACGTGGGTGAGAGAAAGTGGTTGAAATTATTTTGATTAATAAGTGGTTGAAAAAAAATTGAATGTTGTGTAGAATTATTGGTTACCGAAGTGACAGGGAATCTGTCAGAAAAAGTAAAAGTTGATTGATTTAATTTAAAGTGGCAAAACGTTTCGCGGCCGCACCATGGACAATCTCTCCCACGCCCAAATCTATAATAGAAGCAAGCATCCCCCAATATTTTTCCTGTTGGCTTTGGCGGCCTTGCACATGTTGTGATACAGGAATCCGAATACTGTTGAGCCCCAACTCCAACGTCGCGCCTCACCTAGTAGTTGCCAAATGAGAACCCTCGTGTATGTGATGAGTTCATCATTTGTGTTGTGCTGACGTACCGGCCAGCGTTGTAGGGCATTTATTCTTATGACAGATGTGTTTAAGTCGGTGTTGTTTTGCGTAAAACCGGCGGAGTCCGTGCACATATGCATCCAAAGTGCATTCGAATTCGTCATAGGTCCGGACAGTGGTTCTCCGTCGACGGGCAACCCCAACAACACTTCTACGTCCTGTAAGGTGATGTCCACTTCACCAAAAGGCAAATGAAAAGTGTGTGTCTCTGGTCTCCATCTCTCAACCAATGTCGTAATAAGCGATCAGTCTAATTGCCTTCTGATGCAGTCGACGCCATAAAATCTGGAGGCCTTCAGCAACGCTACCGCTCCTGAGTGACGCGGGCCGTCTTTGTACACCATTGAACAATATACATTACACCTCAACTTGTCATCCATGGATGTAGCACCATTCTAGACGAGGTCTGCGCGATGTGCGTAACGTGGCATCACCAGCACAGGCCGATCAACCGGGTCCATAAGTGATATTTGTGCAACCATTCGTATCTCAACTAACAATAAAAATCATATATTAATGTTATATATGTGTGTGTGTATGTATATTATAATGACATATTTTATTAAATGAAATTATAAATTACACATAAACTTTCAATGAAACTATATCAGTTTTATGTATTACATTATAATGTAGGGAAAGTTCCTGAAATAGGACTAAAACGATTTGAAAATTCCAAAATAGGACTGTCATGTTTTTTATTCCCAAAATAGGACTAATTACTGTCATGTTTAGAAAATACTGTCATGTTTGAAGCCTGGTACTGCCAAAACATGACAGTAATTAATCCTATTTTGGGAATAAAAAACATGACAGTCCTGTTTTGGAATTTTCAAATTATTTTAGTCCTATTTCGGGTAAATTCTCTATAATATATGTACGATTGATATTGGGCTTATCCACTGAACAATAATACCACCGTGCCAGAAACTAGAAAAGGAGTAGTTCTAGACGAGCTTGTGAAAATTGTACCAGTATAGTGCAATTATATTATATGTACCGATAACAAATTTTAGACTTGTCACTGAGTAATATTCTCACTGTGCCAGAAACTAGAAAATGACTAGTTCTAAACATAACGTTTGCCAGAAACTAGAAAATGTCTAGTTCTAGACGAGCTTGTGAAAATTTTACCAGCATAGTGCATTTATAATTTATGTACCGATACAAATTTTAGACTTGCCACTAATATTCTCACTGTGCCAGAAACTAGAAAATGACTAGTAAATCCATCCTTTTCTCTCTTAATGCACTTCTTCTCTTTCTTCCAGAATTAATGCTCGTGCTAGAAAACGTTTATGGTGTTATGCCAATATTTGTTCAATCTCTTCACCGGTCATCTAATCTTGAGATCAAATCAACCCAATTTTTATTCATCTCAAGGGCTCGTGATGTTGAACCTATAGGCATTTTCCATAACTCTCAAACGAATAAGAATCAATACAATTTCGTGAAGGACTATCCAAATCAAATGACTTTATTGTGTTTGACATAATGACATGATTAATGCTAATATTACTATACCAGTAGTGTTAAAGTAGTGTTTAATCGACTTTTAAATCAGCTTTTATGTGACTAAAATTCTCAAAAGAAAACTTGTTTGTAGGGCAGAGTAATATTATTGTTTTTAGTGCAAATGAAAGAATATACGTTGTTGTTAAATCAGTGAAATTATCCCAGTATGACAAACATGCAACTGACCTGACCCCTCCAGAAGAGCTGTAAGCTGAGATCAGTGAAGGCACTTTGAGATCCACTGGGAGACAAAAGAAAGAATATACGTTCACAAACGCAACTTAAAATGTGCAATATCCTATAGCTACAGCCTACATATAGACATATACGATAGTATCTCATAAAAAATATAGGTATAAATCGTGTCCTGAATTCTTCATCTCAAACCAGCTAAAGGCCAATGCTAATGTAGACACAACTCATGGCAAATTTAGTATGGTAGAAACAGCGTCCAATAAGTTTGGCCCACCTGAATGGGGCAGGAGATATTTTATCCACCATGAAGTGAAGATAAGCCTGCGGGCGAGGGGTGCACCAAGAAGTCATATGGTTTAAATATATATCAGTGCTTTAGTGTAGAGGGTGATGGGGCCTTGCTAATCTTCTTCTCGTCATGCATAGCCGAGCAGGTAGACTGTAATGAAGAAGAAGAAGATGATGATGATGATGATATGACAGCATGATAAGAAGATGATGCAAGTTGTGCGACTGCTGGAACTGCACCACCTGCAGATTCATTACCATTATCATATAATGGGAGTCAAATAAACTTGAACTCACAGTGTTTATACATATTAAGAGTATTATACAATTAATTGGCACTCATGTTTAATGTCATGGACCCCAATTAGTTGGGATCAAGTGGTTAATAATGATGATGGTGTTAAGTCCCACGGATTGACTTAAATTGTGCCAGCTAGCAAGCTTTTGATCCAGACCTTAACTACATGAAATCTGATGCTACAACAAAGCAACAGTGGTTATGTTGTGGCTGTGCTAATACACAGAGTAATTATCTTTCGGAATATTTGGAATCATGAGGAAGAAGGTTACTCTAGTGCTATCATTCTTGAGAAAAAATCAGAATAGAAGCTAATGTCAATGGAGTTCTAGGCTATGTTTGGTTTTGCAATCAAGCTGACAGCCAATAAGGCACTTTCCCTCATAAGTTATTAGTAACTTATAGTTGATATTAAAGTGTTTAAAAATTAAGCTAGTTTCAAAAAATAAAAATGATATAAAATGATATTTTGAAATTTAAATGGTTTTCAAATAAAATGAGGTTAAATTTAAAACTGTAAATGAGAAGCTCAAAAGTTTACTTGAAAAGCTATACCAAAAATATTACTTTTATGAGCTCAAACTAATCAAATAGGTCTCTCTAACCAAGCTAAGCTTAAGTGGTAGCTACTTAAGCAAGCCTCCTGATTTTCTTCCTTTGACATTATATACTACCCTTCCCCATCCAACATATCCATGTGGAGTTGTGGTTGATGGATTTAATTAGGAAAAAGTAAACTAAATGTAAGGTGTTTAAGGTAAAGGATATGAAGTGACTACCATATGTGAGAGTTGTGAAAAACAACATATTTACCTGCCAATCCTGCACATGCTGATGAGAAAACAATAACAGGCGGAGCCTGCAATTAAAATAAAATGTATTAGATGAGAATTGATAAACCAAAACAAATTGGAGGGAGAAACACTTATACTTTCAAAGTAATCTAGAGGCACATAGTAAGGAAGGAATAGCACACACAACCTTGACTATGTCTTGTTTCCTATAGCAGGAGGATTTAGAAAGTATATGTGGACACATGTTATGGACCATTTATTAAATTAAATTTAATGGGCCTTATTTAAGTTAAAACCACAGTTAAAAAACAAAGAAAATCCTGCCTCAGAGAAGCATTGAGGCATGCCTCAAGGCATATACACCCAGACTTTTGAGGCATAAGCCAAAAACCTAAGCCTCAATACCCAATGTATGCGCCTCACATTGTGGCGCGCCTCAAAACAGCCTCTTAACCACCTTATCAAACCATGGTCCCACACACCCCCAACACTCAACCACCTCCAAAACAAACTAAACACACACAGGAAACAATTCTCACTCCTAACGAAAAGAAAAGTCAATTCCCCGGGCAATGGTTGGAACAAGAGGATAGAAACAATGGCTGTGGCAATAATCTAATGCTTCAAATGAGATTAGTCTTTTTAACTCTGATTTCATGTGTTGGTTATGTTAGGTGACTCCAAACTGTTATTGTTGTTCAAATGGGTATAGTAAAAAATAAATAAATGACGGCCTGATTGCCTGAAGAAACTTACCCCAACGAGAAAATGTAACCACATGGGACCTTTAATCCACTTTCGAACAATAGGCATCACTGAAGATAACAAAAATATAAGATAAAACCATTTAAAATAACTACTATGTCACAATCCTTATTAGTAAAGAATAGAGTTACAACATGAAGTCATGAAGATGGTATAAATTATAGAAATCACTATTCTTTAAATGCAAAAACAATTATATGATCATTCAACTATTTGTATATTCGCTCATTTTAACTAAAAACTACAATGTCAAAATCCTTATAGTAAATAATAGGGTTGCAACATGAAGTCATGAAGATGGTATAATTATAGAAACTACGTAACCACGATTATTTCCAATGGAGCCAAAGACTCATTATTTATTTGATCATTCAAGTTTTCCATCATTTCCAAAGAAGCCAAAGACTCATTAATTATTGGCTTGGGAATATAATGAAATAAAGCAAAATGACTAGCTAAATTGTCTAAACGGTCTGCGCTTCTTTGTTGTGAAGCAGAAACAAGTCCATGCAATTTCGACATGATTTTCATCATGGGTCATCCGGAAACAGTCTCTCTGTGCTTTAGTACAGGGGTAAGACTGCGTACATCTGACTTCCCTTGCCCCACCATAGGTGGGAGCCTTTGCGGAACTAGGGTAATGTTGTTGTATCTGATCATTCAAGTTTGTATATTCAGTCATTTTAACTAATTTCATGAATTTTATAAAATTAGGGTTAAATTAATATTAGTGGCAAATCTGGAAATTAAATGAAGCTAGCCAATGTTATGTTACATAAGCTCGGCAAAACAAGTTAATCACATAAACTTGTACTATTATCTAACCCTATGTAATCTCCTCACTTGACTTTGCATGCTTTTTATTAATGCTGAAAGTTCATAGTTGAGATTCACTCAGATGAGAGAGTCAACCAGAGAAACCTTTCCACAAACAAAAAGAGAAGAACGAGTATAAAGAGGACATAGAGAGTGTATAACGAGCATCATGTGTGGTGGAAATATATGTTAACATATTTCCTAGGTATATTATATAACCCAAACCAAATACCCCTCCAGTGATGCCCAGACATAATCACTAAATTTATAAAGGGGCCTAGTTTGTACCCCACATTAAGATTTCCCACACTTTCCACAAACCAGTTTTAAATCTAGAGTAAAAATTTGATCCCGTTACATAAAAATGTACCTATATGGCTATGGCTATAAGATATATACTCAGCTTTTGTCATATCCTCATTGTCTAACTAGTTTTAATTGCATAAAACAAAGGTGTGCCACTGACTCACTGATTCCTATTTCAATAACTATGAAGAGTAGTACCAATGCTTAACAATGATACTCTAATGATAATATATATGATGTAACTCAACCATCCTTAACATCTTACATTTTTTAGGTCGATCAATCATCTATGTTTACCATAAATCACATTCGCAGAAGACTCAAAACATCATATACAATCACCAAAATCTCAAAGGAGTTTCAATAGCTAGCTGGAAATAGTAACGAGAACAAATAGTGAGAAACACTACCATGGTTGAAGCCATAAAATGCACTTGCAGTGCCACCCACAGCAGAACCAATCTAGCTCATCCCAGCACAAGAAATACATAAGAGCATAAACCAAAAGAAGAACAAGAGATGCATAAACTAGGTCTATATGCACACACATTTAATGGTGAATATGTACCATAGAAAAGCTGTCTCTTATAAGCGGTGGAACTGTCCACTGGCTAGTCTCCTATTATGAGTAATAGATCATCAGAATTATGTATTAAAGTATGAGGAGATTTCCAAACTCAAAACAATAAAAAATGAAAATAATAATTGAGGGACCTTACCATCTCATTGGAAAGAGGACCAGCACAATGTGCACATCTGACTCTATTTAAAAGGCTATGGTTTGATTGCATTGTCGTCTTATCCATTTATTCATTCACCAACAAGATGTATCCAATTTTCCAGATCTTGAGAACTTTAATAGGGAACAGTTAACGAGTCAATAAAATCAGATGCAAGCAGCCACAAAACTGGAAAATCAAAAAGCTTGTGTCATCAAATTGACAAATTTTTCTAGGTCAAGACTGAACCAAAGAAGACTAAAATAACATTAACGTAAAAAAATGGCAGCTACAAAATTAAAAGTCAAACATCACAAATTCACTACATAAACATCAGCTAGAAAAATTTAAAACAGCAGCTGAAACTAAAAGTAAAACAATAATATGAATGGATGCCTGAAGAAGGGTGAAGACTGAAAGATGAATAGCAAATCGCAGATTGAGGAGTGAATGTGGTAGCCGGCAGGTCGTGACTAGTGTTGATGTGTCGTGTGACGGGGGATTAGGGCAGTGTATCTACTGTCTGCTGAAACCCGGATGATTTGGGACCTGCTGAATGCAAGAGTCGACTGGAAGAGGAGGCACTACACATGTTTGGACTAATATTTTTTTTAAATTAAAACCTTTGGACAAGCAAAGATGAGGTGTCTCACTACTTTTTTTTATTTTTTATTGTGAGCCTAATTTTAGTGGGCCTATACTCCCTCGTCCCACTAAGATTATCCTATCTTTCCTTTTTGCTCTGTCCCACTAAGATTGGCCCATAACAAATTTGGTAACATTTGTGTGGTTCTACATCATTCTTACTTTTTTCTTACTTTATTAATTCAATATCAACCACGTAAACCTACTTTTCTTAATAATTGGATCACCTCCTCATGTCTCAATGTTACTGGGATGGAGGTAATACTATTTTTTCAGTGGGCCTGGGCCCTCACTGGCCATAGGCCTGATCCACCTTGTGTATATGAATCATACAGAGTAAAATACTTATTAAGTACTTCACTATTTTTCAGCGATCCGCCTTGTGTGATTCACTATTTTATACGGAGTAAAATACTTAGTACATTTATTTGAAACTAATAAATCGTATATACTTGTGTATAATTTAAAGCATTGATAATGTGCACATTCACTCAACATATCATCACTAAAGAAAATTCGAGGTAAAGTCTTGAGGTGTTTCCTTTTTTTTTTTTGAACCAAGTGATTTTTTTTTATATATAAAATAAATTTTATTGATAAAAGGAAAAACAGTACAGTGCGATAAAGAGAAAAAACGAAAAGTAGTACAAAAAGGGGGGAAAAAAAAGGAAACTAAAAAGATAACTAATCCCAAGGGAAGTCTCTGGATTGAGACCTTGTTCTCATGCTATGCCGCCTTTTGTTCTTTTGAGTTTTTCCGTAGATTTTGAGCTGCGTATTCAAGTTGTCAGTTGGTAGGCAGTTTTCTATTTGCCTAAAATATTCATTTAAAACTAACCATTGCAATTGGTAAAACTAGCAAATATACCAACATGTATGAGTTATATCTATTTGTTACTATTTGCTTTCCACCCAAACTTATAAATATTTGATAGTGTAGAAAATTGTCTAAGGATCGTGATTATACATCTTAACCTGGTTATTTTAGATAAGACATTGCAAAACAGTTTAACTTATTACTATGAAATAGGATATACACATGCACACAAACAGTACTTTTATCAGCTTACGTGCTTACTGGGTAGTTAAAAATACAATATATGTGTGTGTACTATGCAGTAATAAAATACAGAAAATCGGGGGCACTAGCTACACGGATCAAACCAGACCACACGTAAACAAAACTAATCAGACTGCACTTAAACATAAGGACCAGACAAGAACGAACATAGACAAGTAAAATACACATACATCGGACATTGACGATATCAGACCAGATCAAAACCTCACTTAAACAAACCAGACCAAACCAGACCAAACCAGAAAGTTCGGTCCAGTTAAAAACATACTAACTCTCCTTGCATATATATAAACTAATGAGAGGGGCGGAGAAAGGCAAACTATGCTCTGTTCAGTTTGTAGCATCCAATGCTAAAATTCTATTCAATTGAACAATTTTATAGAACATGCTACAAATTTTAAGTATAGAAGGTTTTAAGATTTCAGCATGCCCATTGTGTGTGTATATACATAGATGGAATGGGTCATGAGTCATGACCATTTGTTAGGTTCATCTGCAACAAGTTGCAGAGTAGTCCCATCTACATTTTACATATTGCCTTCTGTTGAGAATTTGGTAGCCATTGTGCTCTCTTTTTTATGCTTAACTATCCATCCATTCTACTGTCAGGATGCAATGCATGTGGATTTATTGTCCTAGACCGTAAGAGGTCTGGTCAAAGGTGTCATACTTCTAGGTGGTTTTCATGTTCCAAAGCTACTGTAGCCGAGTGGTTGTAAGTTTCCACTTTTGGACTACATTCTTGGTAGCAGTGGCACTGCGTCACTAATTTTTAATGGATTGTAGTATCTCGATCCCAGGTAAAAGTTCTCGTCCACTATTCTCCGGTCAACACAAATTGTTTTTAATCTTTTATTCTATATATCCAACTTTTATCAAATTTGAGTTTTTTTGTGATTTTATAAAAAAATTAATGTAGCTTCGGATTATGTAAACTACTAAACTTTATTTACTAAAAATAATCTTATTATTGACATAGATCAGTTAAGTTTATGGTCAGTCAAACATTGAGAGCCTTTTTATGGGACGGAAGGAGTATATGTTTGCGTACAGTTGAGTAATGTACCATGACTTGAATCATGTCTCACTTTGCAAATTTACAACAAACTCAATCAGAAAATATAAAAAATCAACGCTAATAGAACTTAAAAAAAAAGGTGCTTGATCACTTTTGAATGATACACAACTTTGAAATTTGAATTACATAACACTTAAATAGAAAATACTCCGTGTAATCAACAAAACTCACAATATGGAAAAGAATCATAAGCTGATCTAACAATTAGGTTTCTTACTGGAATATAGAATTTTATGTTTGAGAATACTTGATAAGGTTGAAGTCGAAGCAGCGAAGAAATTGAAGTACCTGATTACGGAAGAATGGATCGCAGAACAATCGATCGTCTGCTCTGGTGAGAAGTTGTGGGAGCAGAGGGAAGCTTCTCAATAGAAGATGCTCTGTTAATTTGGGTGGGTTCATCAATTAAATTTGGATCATCAGTAATAAAGCCCATGTAGAATTATCCAATAACCCCTGAAAAAAAAATTGTCCAAAAAGGAAGGGGCCGTTATCACCGCTGCTTGGCCCATCGGCCCATCCTCGGTTTCCCCCCTTTTTCACCCCTTTGTTTTTTTCCGACTGAATTTCGAAGCTCAAACACATCGGCGGCCACGGTCTCATTTCTCACAGCGCTTCCATCGATCGATCGATCCAAGAGTACTCTCATTCACTTTCTTTCTGCCATTTCTAAATCTTGATTCAATTCTTATAAGATTTTTCTCTGCAGTTTGGAAACGCCTCCGTGAAACCCTAGGCGTATACTGTACTATAGAGTGTTGAAGACTCGAATTTCACTGATATGGAGTGGAACCCTGAAACCCTACAGTTCCTCTCCCAATGCTTCCTCAATACTCTCTCCCCGATGCCACAGCCTCGCCGCCAAGCTGAGGCGGGCCTTGCGGATGCAGCTGAAAAGCCTAACTACGGCCTGGTGGTGCTCCGCCTAGTGGCCGAGCCTTCTGTTGATGAGCAGATTCGGCAAGCGGCTGCTGTCAACTTCAAGAATCACCTCAAGGCGAGGTGGTCGCCGGCTCCTTCTTCTGGACATAATGCGCCGAGTGCAGCTCCTATTGCGGACGAGGAGAAGGAGCAGATCAAAGGTTTGATTGTTTCACTGATGGTTAATGCATCTCCCAGGATACAGTCTCAGCTTAGTGAAGCTCTGACTGTGATTGGTAAGCACGATTTTCCTAAATCCTGGCCCAGTTTGTTGCCTCAACTCGTTCTGAGTCTTGATAAGTTGAGCCAGGCAAATGATTATGCATCTGTTAATGGGGTGCTTACCACTCTTCACTCATTGTTTAACAAATTCCGGTATCAGTTTAAGACCAATGAGTTGCTCCTTGATCTCAAGTACTGTCTTGATAATTTTGCAAAGCCATTGTTAGATGTTTTTAAGCGCACTGCAAATGTGATAGACCGGGCCATGGAGTCTGGCTCTGCTACCGCACCAACCCTGAAGCCATACATAGAGTCTCAGAGATTGTGCTGTGAGATATTCTATTCTTTGAATTTTCAGGAATTGCCTGAATTTTTTGAGGATCATATGAATGAATGGATGATTGAGTTTAAAAAGTATCTTACTGTAAAGTATCCAGTTCTTGAAGACAGTAGCAATGATGGGCTTGCAATTGTTGATGGTCTACGGTCTGCAGTCTGTGAATGCATCAGCCTTTATATGGAGAAGGAGGAGGAATTGTTTCAAGGGTATTTAAGTGGATTTGTGGAGGCTGTATGGAGTCTTCTTGTAGCTTCATCAGCATCCTCCAGCAGGGAACAACTGACTGTCACTGCAATTAAGTTCTTGACAATTGTTAGCACTAGTGTTCATCACACACTGTTTGCACGAGAAGACATTCTAGAGAATATTATTCAAAGTATCGTTATTCCTAATGTAATGTTAAGGGATGAAGATGAGGAGCTGTTTGAAATGAACTATGTTGAGTTCATAAGAAGGGATATGGAAGGGAGTGATCTTGATACTAGGAGGAGGATTGCATGTGAACTACTCAAGGGTGTTGCTACTCATTACAAGGAAAAAGTCACAGAAAAGGTATCCCATCAGATAACGAATTGTTTGGCCGTGTATACTCAGAATCCAACTGCAAATTGGAAATTCAAAGACTGTGCTATCTATTTAGTTGTCTCCCTGGCCACTAAAAAGGCAGGTGGTACTTCAGTGTCAACTGACCTGGTAAACGTGGAGAGCTATTTTGGATCTGTTATTGTTCCAGAGCTCCAAAGTCAGGATGTGAATGCTTTTCCAATATTGAAGGCGGGTGCATTAAAGTTCTTCACCATGTTTAGAAATCTGATACCAAAGCATGTTGCATTGGCACTGTTTCCAGATGTCATTCGTTTCCTTGGTGCAGACTCCAATGTGGTTCATTCTTATGCTGCAAGTTGTGTTGAAAAGCTGTTACTGGTCAAAGATGATGGTGCAAGAGCAAGGTATACTTCATCTGATATCAGTCCCTTTTTGCTAGTCTTGATGACCAATCTTTTTAATGCCTTAAAAAAGCCAGAATCTGAAGAGAATCAATACATTATGAAGTGTATCATGCGTGTGCTTGGGGTTGCTGAGATCTCTCGTGAGGTGGCTTTGCCGTGCATAGCTGGTCTTACACATATCCTGATCGTAGTATGTGGGAATCCAAAAAGCCCTGTTTTCAACCACTACCTATTTGAGTCGGTGGCTGTTCTGATCAGAAGGGCCTGTGAGAGAGATCCTTCTCTCATATCTGCTTTAGAAGAAAACTTGTTCCAATGCCTTCAAATAATCTTGGAGAGAGATGTGAGCGAGTTCTTTCCTTATGCATTTCAGCTTCTGGCTCAGCTTGTTGAGTTGAATAAGCCTCCTATTCCACAACTCTACATGCAGATATTTGAGGTTCTCCTTTCACCTGAATCCTGGAAAAAAACTGCAAATGTTCCTGCTCTAGTCCGGTTGCTCCAGGCATTTCTTCGAAAAGCACCCAGTGAGCTTAATCAACAAGGAAGGTTGTCAAATGTCCTGGGCATATTTAACACACTTATAATTTCTCCAAGCACGGATGAACAGGGGTTCTATGTGTTGAATACAGTCATTGAAAACCTTGGGTTTGATGTTGTCTCACCATATGTGGGCCATATCTGGGCTGCCTTATTCAAACGGCTGCAGGAAAAACGAACGGTGAAGTTTGTGAAGAATCTTGTGATATTTATGTCTCTTTTTCTGGTCAAGCATGGCTCTCAAAATCTCGCAGCTTCAATTGATGCTATTCAAGCAAATTTATTTCGTACAATTGTGGAACAATTTTGGGTACCTAACCTCAAACTAATCACGGGGTCAGTTGAGCTCAAGTTAACTGCAGTTGCTTCGACTAAACTTGTATGTGAATCCCCGTCTTTTTTGGATTCTGGGCTTTGGGGAAAGATGTTGGATAGTATAGTCACTCTTCTCTCTAAATCAGAGGACGAGAGAGTGGAGGAAGAGCAAGAAGTTCCAGACTTTGGGGGGGAGACTGGATATAGTGCTACTTTTGTTCATTTATACAATGCTGGGAAGAGGGAAGAAGACCCACTTGTAGAAATACGGGATCCAAAATTATTCTTTGCTACATCCTTGGCTAATCTATGTGCTCATTCCCCTGGCCAGTACACACAGGTTATAAGGGAAAATCTCCTCCCTGTAAACCAGGAAGCACTACTTCATATTTGCAGCTCATATAATGTAGCAATAGTTTGAGTACACAAGGCATTACATGGTATGCTCTTCCTTTGACTCATATGCAACTGCTTATGTGTTATCATTAGTGATTTTACTTGCTTTATTTATCATATACGTAGTATGTGTTTTGCTGAACTCATTGTTGAAATTCACCATATATAATGTTATATAGAAACTTTGGGTTTAAAACTGTAGTTGTTATCAGGTTGCTATTCTCCCTTTTGGTCCTCAACCATCAATATATAGCAAAAAAAATGTAACACCAACCAGAGCAAAGATGAAAAAAACCAAAGATACACAAATGAAAAAGAAATATCTTAACGAACATGAACTAGAAGATTCCCTACTCTTTTATCACTCTCTTCATCCTCCCTACCAGCTTTTTCCCTGGCCCATGGTAAGTGGAGTGTGCTTAGAACATTGACAGAGGGGCATAAGTCACACATAAGAATAAGAAACTTTAAGAAATTCAAGCCTAAAGTGACTCGTGTATACGAATGCTTGAAATGCTTAATATAAAATATTTATTAAGTACATTCACTCAAACTAATAACTCTGATTTCATATGTTGATTCATGTTAGCCGACCCCAAACTCTTTTGGTACTAAGGCTTGGATATTGTTGTTGTTGTACTCAAACTAATAGCTCGTGTTAATGTATTCTTATGTATAATAAACTCCGGAAAATGTTGATATTGTATATTCACTCAACATATCATCACTCAAGCAACTTCAAGGTAAGTTTTAATGTGTATCATTATATTGCGTAAAATTTCATTCTAACACTAACCATTGCAATTGTAAAACTAGTGTGAGGGGTACTTGAACCCCATATAACGTCATTATAGTGTTTACTTCACAAGTAAATATACCAACAATTTTGAATTATATCTATCAGTTTTTATTTTCTTTCAACCAAATTAATAAATATTGGATAGTGTAGAAAATTGTCTACAAATCAAGATTTTACATCTTGACCTTATTATTTTGTGAAAAATGCTTGGTGTACATATTTTGGTGTACACCTTTCGTACACTTGTCTGTCTCAAGTACACAGTGTTGTCTGTATACAGACAACTTTGTAGGGTCGTACAGAATTCTGTGTACAACAACTATGTGTGCGTGAGACAGACAAATGTACGAAAGGTGTACACAAAAAGTGTACACCTAGCACAACTCTTATTTTGTACACCATATATTTATTCATGAAAATTCAGATGAGGTATTGCAAAAAAGATATTAAAATAGGGTATACACCTGCACATACGGGGCAATGTGTGTGTACTATGTAGTAGTAAAATACAGAAAATAAGGGGCAATGCTCTACATACTCCTAGATACGTCATTGGCATGTTGCCCACTTCAACTCACATTTTATGCAATAGTTCATGAAAGGGCGGGTAAAGGGAACTGCGCTCTGTTCAGTTTGTAACAGCCAACTGTAAAATTTTATACAATTGAACAACATTATTGAACATGCTACAAATTTTAAAATTCATGCAAAATTTCATGACTTATGTATGACCATTGTGTGTCCATTATACATTGATGTACAACTGGTTGCAGAACAGACCCATCTAGTTTTTACATATTGTGCCTTGTGTTAGCCATTTTGCTCTCTTTTGTATGCCTAACTCTGTCCACTCATTGTACTGTCAGGGTGCCATGTATC